CGAACACACACATCACACATCAGTCACTGTGCCTGTCAGAGCATTTGAAGCATGTTTCTTTAAGCTGGAAGGTAGATGTTCATAGTCAAATTATAATACGTGTTGAACTATTAAAGAGAAACACTGTCAGACCAGCTGCCCAAATGGAAAAGTTTGAGTAGATAAATAGAAAATACCATCAACAATGTGATTTAAAGCCCTGTGTAGCCAACATGTATCAGACTCTAGCTCGTTTGGCTAGAAAGTCTGGTTTGTTTGGGGAAGTATGAACCCAAAAAGCAAACTCTGGTCCACCCACAACCCTAGGTCTCGATTCAGTTGAAGTGAACTCTGGTGCAGTTCGATTGTACTGTGAATGCCAGGCAGACCAGAGACCGCTCCAAAAGCAGGAAGCGGACTACAACCCAGGGTATTCTGAGTAATAAGAGTAATAAAGTTCCTCATATACTATGCTGGATGGACGCACCCCTACTCATACGGCGCCATCTCAGCTGCCTTGTATGAAGAATTAGCCTGGCCCTTGCCTTCCTACGCAGCTCTGCTCAATTCTAGTTTCCCTTCACTGCTCCGTCTGGGACTTCTCCCATTGAGATGGATTTCGCTGGCAGATTTTTAGCCGGGCCAATCAGAGAAGAGAACATTGATTTTCTGCGCAGTGTCTGCTTGTAGTTTACTTTACCTGAGCCAATCAGAGAACAGAAGGAGGAGCTTTGAATGACGTCAATGTTCTGCACAGTGTCTGCTAGTTATTTTCGCATACGGCAGTGGAGGAAGTGAATGAAGTCAGTCTGTGTTGAAAAGGCTTCCAAATTGAAATTAATTTGTCTGACAAAGCAGCAGCTCTCATTTACAGCCGTCTCGTTCGGCTCGGTACTTCTCTCCTCTCAGTAGGGTTGTTTACAGCACACGCGATTTCCGGTTAGCTTCTTAGCTTAGCCTCCGTCACAGCGACATACGTCGCAGCCAACTGATCCAATCATTTTAAACTTCAGCAGAGGCCACGCCTCCTGCAAGAAATCGATTCTCTATGCGTCAAGTCCAGACCGTTGTACGAAGCAAAGTGAAGGACAGGGTCTGGTTCAAACCATGCTAGTGAAGAATACTCTCCATGGTCTTATGCCTCATCTTCCCCTCATGCTGAGCTCATTTTTGAAGAGTGTTTGTTTGGCACATTTGTCAAAGACAAAAGAGAAATACTACAATCCCTAAAATCAGACATCACTGTTTGTTTACATTATCTGAAAAAGAGAAAGCTGTGTCCAGAGAGGTTTTTGAGTCAATTCCTTTAGTGGTTCTTGGTGCAGTGCCACCACAGGTGGGGAGGTAAACAGGCTGCTCACAGGGTTTGGTTCGTTTGACAAAGTGCAGTGTGAAAGTGGATCGCACCAGCTGAAAATGTACACAAATGTTTCAATTTTAGACCCCAATTGAACCAAGTCTACCAGACTATCATATCTTAGACCAAAAAAGAAACCATTACTCCTTCAGTCAAGCTATTTGATTTATCTGCATAGTTTGATCCTTCATCAGATAACTAGTTTCCTGTAGAAGTATCTCTTCTTGCGCTGACCTAAACCACAGCATCTCTTTCACTGTGCACCTGTGAGCTGCGCAGATTTGCTGCACACTTGTTTTATTTGATTTTAGTTATTATAAAAAACACTAAATGATTCTCTGGACAATCCACATTACGTTACATACTGTAGTTACGTTTCGGATTCTTGTAAGACATGAATTTTCACTTCAGAAGAAGAGAGGCCTTATGAGTGGATGGATGTGGGAATTACAGAATAAACGCAATAAAAAGGCTTTTCTTTCTCAATGCTCAGTCAGCACAACGTGGAACAAACAATAAGTGATTGTCAAATTGTATCTGGTGAAATCAAACAATTTAGTGATCACATTTAAAATCCAACAGCAATGCTGGCTGGTGGAAAACAGATATATTTTCCATCACTGGTCGTGAATTGCATCTCGTTTTGGCTTCTGCTGCTGAATGACCATTTGCTCTTCGGTCATGATTGATGAGCTCTGTTCTCTCATGACCTAAACAGTACACACACCTCACACACACACACACACACACACACTGACCTCACTGCTAATGCTTCTCAGCACTCATACCAGAATCAGGCCGCAAGAGTCCAGTTACCCTGCATGCGTGTGTTTGCATGTTCTTGTTGTCTTAGTGTTCAAAGTATCATACCTCTGTACAACAAAAAATGCAAACACAATATTCCTTTTTTTGTCCCCCCCCCCACCCACCCCACTCTTTCAAGTGAACACATTGCTGCGTTTGTACATGTGTGTTTGTGTGTGGGCCAGTGTTAAACAGGCACCAACAGAGGCTTCACATTTGAACTTGATTACACACTCACTGTATTATTTCCAGATTTTGTCGAGCGTGTTATGAAATAATTCAGCTTCAGCCCATTTGCTGATGTGCGTGTCTTGATGTTTGTCTTAATATGAAATGATCACAATGTGTCTCTCTGGTGTTCCAACTTCACGCATATGGTGTCGAGCTGAATGTGTCTGTATGAACTCTCCAAATCATGTTCATATCTGAGGGGGGCCTATTTTTTGTTTCGTAAAAAAGGAAACGGTAAAACCCTACCAGTAACAACATGAAATTTGTTGATCAGTTGATCATTGGTTAATAGTTGACTAAGAGCTTAGAGATTATCAACTTAATATAGTGAACATACAACATGAGATTTGTTGGCTTGAAGGAATTTATTAGTTAGAAACTGATTTAGAAGCACCACACTCATAGTTTTCCTTTTTAAGTATCGATTCTTAATCTATTGTTTGACTATTATGTCTTGATTAAAATAGCATTTGCTACATGCCTGAAACAAAATGACAACACATAATAATAACCATTGACACATACAGGAAAGGTTTTTTGTCTGAGTGTCTGCGATTCAGCCGTAGGCCAGTAGTGGGCGCACCAGGCACTGAAGACACTGTATAAAAAGGACCGGAAGTTCCAGTTTCAAGCAGCGCAGCTTGGCTTCTCCAGTCAGGAGCAATAAAGCTTCGCTCGTAACCAGATCTGGGTTGTATGGTTCCAATTCTTTTTACATTTTAATCTATTCAACATTTTGTGGTTTCTTCTCGATTCCAGTTTAACGCACATTAAAATTTCTTACAGGCTCTTCGAAAGTTGGTTAAGAGTAAAATTTATGTTTTTTTCTAAAGCATGGTCTCTGGCTTCTTGAGATCCTATGCCCTGTTGATTTTAGACAATATCCTTGTGTAGCACACCTGATTCCTACAAACTACTAATATACAATATGAAGCATACTGCTGTAGCTCAGTGCAGCTGTCTTGCGATGTTGAGACTGCAGGATTGAGCCCAGGTTGTGTAAGGAATAACATCTGGCTTTTAACAGTTTATCAAATTGCTTTGGTTTGTTGGCTCACTGTGGCAACCCCCTAATAAAAGAGGGCAGCACAAAGAAAAAGTGCAACACGTGACAAAGGACCTTAAAATTGATCAGAAACAGTTTCCACAAACAAAGTAGAAAACAAACAAAAAAAGCACACCTTTGTTCTAAAAATGTGCAAAGCTAAAGCAAATGGATACAGTGTGAACGATTAAATTCACTACCGAATCACACCTTCTTTCAACATGCAATCATGAAATGTGACTAAAATATTTTAGCCATTATGTTAACACAAACATAACTCTGCCAGTGCACAAAATGTCTATTTACTGATAAATACATGAAAAAAGAAATAACCCTGCATTGTCAGGAACAACTTCATTGTATATTTACTTGTTAAACACAAAGACTAGAAGATGGTTGGACTGCAAATGGATATTTAAAAGCTACTAAACAGAAAAATGTCACTTCTTTTAAACCAATGGGCCCAATCAGGAGCTGGCCCTTTCCTTCCTATGCAGTTCTGCTTGATTCTAATCTCCCTTCTTCGCTCCGTCTGGGCTTTCTCCCAATATACATGGATTTCTCCGGTCAGTTGGGCCAATCAGTGAACAGAAGGAAGAGTTCTGAATGATGACATCGATTTTCTGCACTGTTTTAGTCTGCCTGTAGTTTAGCAATGGCAGAGGCGGAAGTGAATGAAGCTATTCAGTCCACGCTGACAAGACTTCCAAATTAAATTGAATTTATCTCGCAAAGCCTGCAGCACTCATTTACAGCCGTCTCGTCCAGCTTGGTACCTCTCTCTTCCCAGTAGGGGATGGTTGTTTACAGCACACACAATTTACGGTTAGCTTCTTAGCTTGGCCTCCTTCACAGTCAAGCTGGCGCACTACATAGGTCACAGCCAAACATTAACCATTGGGTAAAATCAGATCCGATCATTTTAAACTTGAATGCCTCCAGCAAGCAAGCAGTTCTCAATACTTGAGAGTTCAGACTCTCTGTACGAAGCAAAGCTTAGAACAAAGGGCTGGTTTTTACCAGGCTATAACAATCAGGGGGTTCAGCTTCAAAATCTTACTTTCATGCAACCAAAAATAAATGAAATGATTATTCAGTGCTACTCGGAGAATAGAGCCACTGTTTGCAAAATCTTGTTTTTGTGTAAACATTTTTTTTCTATGAATGGATTTTGTTTGTAAAATTTACAGAGGCAAACATTCGAATTAACTTGTATGAATGAGTTTAAACTTCCTTCACTCCAGGTTCTGTTTAGAACATAACCCCAGAGACAACTCAGAACCACTGCAGCTCATCTGCTGCATAAATGTTCATCTGTGCAGCAGATTTTGTTTTTCTTAGTCAGCAGGACATCTTTATTTATTAGGAAAATATTCCAGGAATTTTCCATACCCTTGAAGATACAGGTTTTCATTTTCGAAATGATTCACAACAAACTCTGCAGTGATGAACAGTGTCAGGGGGGTATTTCTTCAACAGAATGATGTGCTGAAGACATCCAGTGATAACGAGTGTCTTCTTCTGCTCCCTGGGATTTATTCAGTCGTCCTGACTTTTTCTCATTCCTCCTACCAACTGCTGCAGGCCTCACACCCCCAAGGAGTGCCAGCGTCAGGTGCAGCCACCAGAGCTGCTGATGACAGCTTGCTCCAGATACTGCAAGAATGGACTTTGTACTCCCACAGGGAAATGTTGCTGTAGCCCAGGCTGGGAGGGACCCTTCTGCCGAATAGGTAAGCATCGCTCCGAGTATCATCTGAAATACATGTGTTACTCCACTGCAGACGTGTAGTAGATATGCCATGTTTCTTATCGACCATTTTAAACCCATTTGACATTCGATGCAAATTTTTTTACCAGCTTGTTTGATTGCTTTTTCCTGTGACCATAGCCAAATGTGAGCCAGCCTGCCGCAACGGAGGAGTGTGCATAGAGCCGAACAAGTGCCTGTGCAAGAGCGGCTACTCTGGCTCTCAGTGTGAGAAGAGTGAGCAGGGCATGCCCAACGACCAGGAGAAAGAAGGCATACTGGACCACATCATCGACATGACCTCGTATCTCTTGGACCTGACCAGCTACATCGTATAGGGGTGCGCAGAGTGGGGCCGCTCCCCACCCTCACCCTCACATTGACACAAATCTACCTATCACCACCAGCAGACTCTTACAAGGTGTTATCAATGTGGCCAATTAATCTCCCCTCACATGAACACACAAATCTAAAGAGGATCCCTGTCGGACTGCTTCGGATCCACACACATCACACAACACACAACACGCAACACACAACACATCACACAAAACTCTCCCTCCTTTCACCTATAAGCTATTTGCTCTCGAGCACCAGGACTGTCGCCCAAGCTGTGTTCACGTTTCGTCGAGGCCTGCAGACAGCCGTGACTTGACTGACCTCCATGACCGTGCTGGTAGACGTTTTCACAGAGACATTTCCTCACACAGCTGGCTTCAACAGGAACTCCACAGAAAAGGACTGTTTTAACTCAAGACTTTCGCTCTTTTATGGAGCTACCTTTTGCCTTTCGTAAGACCCCTTAAAAAATGGAGTGTAAGGCAATTTGATGAAGATTGTTCACAAGTCCTTTAGGGATTCAAACATTAAATGCCTGTCATGGCTCAAGAACTTGTTCATGCTCTTGGTGTAATAAAACAAATGTCTACACACAGGCAACGAAGGAACACGGGTCATGGGTCACATTGAGCCTGCAGTACTTTTTGTAGTGTTTAAAGGCCCTGAGGAACATGTTGTCTCATCCATGATGTTGTATTTAGTTTGTGGGCACATTGTCATAAAGACTAAATCAGTATGCAGTCTGTTCACCTTTTTGTTTCCCAATGTAGACAATGGATCAAACTCGGCAGAGATTAGGTACACAGAAATTGGAATGAGAACATTGTTGAAGCCAGTTTCATGTATTCTGAAAGGAGGGTTTTTTTGGCTTTCATGCACTGTATTAACTTTACTTTTTATTATCTTTCAAAATTAATTTAAACGCGTTTAAAAAAAGGCCGAATGAGAGTGGTTTAACACTCACTCATACAGTCCACACCACATTATTACAGGTATGCTTCAACAAACTCCTTTTATTCTGTCACACACACTGTAACTAAAACTTAAAAACGCAAACAAACAAAGGGAAGAAAGGGAAGACAGAGCACAGTGATGTACATTTGCAATAGAGCTTAACTAAGTACTACTTAGCATTGCAACAAAAAAATCTAGCATAACTATTATTATCATAGAGGAGGGTTTATTTTTTTAAGCGTAATAATATATGGGAGAATATGGTGTTTATATAGAAGGCAGTTTTACACTAAGCTTGTCAGGTCATGTCATTACATGTTGTGTGTGTCTATATATATATATA